GTAAATTTAAAGGGAATTATCAAGTCTCAAATTAGAGAAATCATGAGAATGAATCTGTAACAGGTTCTTTAGAGGGAAACATTTGAAAGTTTGAAAATAATTCTCAATGGCAAGTTTAAGAAGAAAGATTTTTGTATGAATTGAAAATTCCTAACGAATATTGTTTGATTAAAACTGTAACATTATTATCTTTACTAAACTACAATCCGTTTCAAGAGCTAACAAGGTTATGAGGAGGCACATTGATATATGTTAATACAGCTATGTTTAGCAAAACAAAAAGCTTACACGTGTTGTCATAAAAATATGTCCTCACATAAGTAGCTATTGTATAGGGTTGAATGTAATATTATTTTTATCCGATCACTGATAGAAAAAAACAAGAAGATGCTAACATATTTCTTTCATACATTATTCCGAGTTTATTAATACTAATTATATTCATTAAGTAGACGACTTATTGTTATAGAACGTAGAAACTTATTTTTGGTATGTTCTCAATAAATTTTCTTTTACATCGCTATAATATATATTGAGGGTGTGTGGGATGTGGATGTGAGTGTGTTAAGAATACCGTCACATTCACACACTCATACCCCACCCACACCTATAAGTCAGCGGTATTTATGACTTGGGACCTGATTGCTTCGCCATTATATTGGTCGTATTATGGACTGTGCAGCCTGAAAAAGTTTTCAACATTACATACGTTTTGGATGTTTTATTAGGTGAACGGTTTTTCCCCAGTGCACATAGGGGTGTGGGTGGGTGTCAGTGCCAGTGTGAGTGTGAATGTGGATATCAGCGCGGATGTACTGAATTCCGAGAATTAGATTGACTTGGTAGGCAGTGATTCCCGAAATTCCGGAATTGTGCTGGAAGTGATAAACAGAATTGCCGGAATTAGATGGAATTGGTTCCGGAATGTTCAACATTGCGGAATAGGATGTATTCTCTCTCCAGGTAGGATGCAAAAGTCACAGAGATCACATATAGATGGAACATAAGGGATTACCCTTAATTACGGCCCAAATAATACTAGCGATTGAATGCAAGTTATCTAGCGATTGTGGACAAATCAGTGACTAGAACTGTTTCAGCAGTTTTTTCTTTCATTTGATCTGAACTACGATCTGAGAACTGTCGTAGTCCTAGTGGCGAGAAAGTAGAAATATATCGATAAATATAAGTGATTCCACGATCAAGTTGTTTATTGCTTTATATCTTCCTTATTACTTTATTAGCTTTCCTGGCTTATAGTTAGTATACTATTAATTCGAAATAACAGTTATTACTTATTACCGGTAATAGTAATGTGCTAGTCCTACTAGACATATATAATAAGATCCTAGCTTTGTTCTTTGGTAGTTTTCTGTGGTAAGATGAGCTAGTTTAAGAAACAAATATTCGGAAACTATGATTTTCCAAACTTTAATGAGCTTATTCTATCGCTTATTGCGAATTCATCGAGTAACAAGTATTTACATACATCGATTGAATATATTAGATAAGAAACTGTATGAAATACTATAATGTATTTTTATATGAATATAGCTAAAGTGGGTGCATTATTACTGATTTCTTACATATTCTATTTAGAAAAAAAACTCTCACGCTTATCAGCGTTCGTGGCCATCAGCTGCACATTCCTAATCCATCAGGATTCATGTTACATTGTTTGAAGATTGCTGTAAAGTGAATCATTTTTTGGTGCATTGTGGTAGACTCCGACGTATTTAGTAGATTGAAGTAGCTTCTAATAGATTTCCGAACACTTCAGTCAATCTATTGTGCAATTTAATACCCTTTATTAGGAGCAACATAATCCAATAGGATCCAGGATCCGCTCCCCCCTTGATTTAGTTGATTATAACTAGGGTTGAATATTATAACTCGAGTTATAACTAGGTCAATTTTAACCCCCACAGTGATTCAATATTATATAGTTGTAAAAAAAATCATTTACTCAAACTTGTCTATGTAAATGATGAATAAATAGTATTCATGCATAATCTCTCGGATTCTTGTCGTATCAAATGAGCTAGAACAGCTAAGGCCTTTTCGTTTCAGATTTCTTACTTTTTGAATTTTTTCTAGAACAACGCTAGCGATTTTGAAAAAGTGTAACAAGCGTATATTTCACATTCTACTATTTCATCAGTTTTTATTGAAGTATATGCTGAAAAGAGCATGGCGGCGTAAGCTCAAGTCTCTAGGGGAAGCAATACGGTGTGGGTGTCGGTTAAGAAAAAAATTACACCCATATCGACACCTTTGCTCTAACCATTCTCTAGATACACTTGTTCAAAGTTGAAAAAAGTCTGTGCGTTACCTGAGTTTCGACTGGGCTGTTCCTTCATTTTTGCATTGCTCATAGAAGAAGCCATTCGATTAGTGCGAGACCGTTCGGAACTGTGTATGTCTAAACAAAAATATATTTATAGGTCATTCGTATTTATCTGACACAAAATGAGGTGCGCGCCTTTTTGCATAGGCTATGTCCCTCCACCCACCCTGTGGTTGTGGCTGTTGTGGGCTAATCTTCTCAGCACCCACACCCACATCCACATCCTTTTTGTGAGTAGAAATATTAATCTGTGCTATATTACTGCAACAAAAACGAGCTATTTGATTTAGAATACAGAAAATAGATTCAAAATTTCTACTTTAAAGCCATTAAGGAGCTGTTCACTCATGCATTTCATTTCGCGCACTCACCTTAACGTTCGTTGTACTTGCTTTAAAAAAGCAATTCGTTACTCTGTCAACAACTTTATATGTGTGCTACCATACAGAACACACGAGTCGCTCTTTCGCAGGAAAAAATGCCACGACAGAATTGACAACTTTACTTTTGTTGCTTCATTATATGCATTTTTTTCTCTCGCTCTCTTTCCACCCTTAAAATACTTTTGGGTGATGCTTCAACCGAGTTTTGTTTATGCAGCATGCCAAAAAGCGCTGTTGTTGCTGATTCAAGCAATATAAAATCAATCAGAAGATTATCATGTGTGGGTGTGGGTGTTAGTGGGGGTGCACTGAATTCCGCTCAATTCCTGTTCGGCCTAATTCCAGGAATTCCGTACTGGAATTGCATTTGTCACCGAACAGTAACTGATGATAATCGTCCATTAATCACTGAATTCCGAGCAGTAGGCGGAAATTTGTTTCGGCTATTCCGGAATGAGAGGTATCACATATCCGAAATATCGGGCATGCTGGGGATGCCAAGAGAGACGCCGACATACAAAACTATAACTAACACATAATACAAATACTATGCGTATGTAAAATTATTTAAGCGCATTCTGCGTCTCATGCAGAGACGCCGCAGCTCTGGCATCCCCATCTCCAGCATCTCCCGATGAAAAAATTACTTTTCGATTTTTAGCCTAGACCCCTCCGGAAGATGCCGCCTCTGACGCAGAGACGTCGTATCTTCGGGGAACCACTGAGGAAAAACATTTTCCTGATTTGAAGGCTATGACCAATACCCCCATCCATGGGTCACAGTCAAGTGTGGAAACCGTTCATCCAGCAATGCTGTCTAACTCACAGGGAAAGCGAACCGAGAAATTAGTTCATCATAGGACGCAGCGAACGGTGCTCGTGAGCGCCGAAAAAATTATCGACTGGCGAAATCGTAGCCATTCATGGATATAGTCACATAAACGAAATACTAAATTTACAGGGAATGACAGGTAAAAAGGTAAAAACAGGCGCATTGCCAACCACGTGGAAAAGGCAAATCATTCGATATTGGCGCGTCGCTGCGGTAGACAAGCATAAAAACACGCGCACCTACTTGAACGCAAGTTGATTGCAAGCATACCAACCCACACACCCACACCCACATCTTAGAGTGACAATTCGAGTAACAGAGATGCGACCGTATCTGCACACCACCGTTTTCCCGCTTTCATCAGATCCACATTAGGTATCCTGTATACGTGTGTAGACGAGGTATTCCGCACTTGTGGCACCCACATTAGAGATCAGGTATATGTGTGTAGGCGAGGTATTCGGCCTTTCGTGGCACCCACACTTGCGATGGGTGTGGCAGTGTATGAATGCGTTAATGTGCTTTTGCGTTTCTCTACCGTGGTCGCACATCAACATTGAGTGATATGACTTTTTGGCGTCGTTACCTGCCTGCCTGTTTTACCTTCTTGTGTCTGATTCAGTGTATATCGATTGTTTTGTCTATGTGACTCTACCACCGAAAGACTACGATTTAGTGTGCCGACCTGTGTTTCGACGCTCAGCCTCTCGCTTCGCTCCATCATATGATGAACTTCATTTCTGGTTCCGGCGTCGCGGTGAGTTGTACAGCAATACCATATGCACAGTTTCCACACTCGATTGTGACGCACGGACGGGAATGGGTCATAGCTTTCAAATCGGGAGAGCGATTTTCCTCAGTAGTTGCCGGAAGATGTAGCTTCTGTGTGTGAGACGCGGAATCTCGCTATGGAGACGCATATCCAGGTAGGGTCTAGGCTAAAAATCGAAAAATATTTTTTCATCATAAGATGCGGCAGATACAGATTGCGCCTGATGGGTTCCTTGTAACTATGATATTTATATTTGCTGGGAGTATTGCTGCGGTACTTGGTCAATTCGTCGCGAGACAATTCGTCGCGGACAATTCGTTGCAGACAATTCGTTGCAGACAATTCGTCGCACAGACAATTCGTTGTCGGACAATTCGGCGCATGCACGATTCGTCGCACGAGCAATTGGTCGCAATGTAAATTAATGAAAGTCAATATCGTGTCGCTTGATGTAATTGAATCACGTAGACTATGTTTAATTAATTGAATAAGCCTACGAATTTCGTAGACTGAGTTATGAATCTCAAGGAAAAAATAAATAATCTAATAGGATTTTGGGAAAATCAGAAAAACCCATTAATTTTAAAAATAAATATAAAATAATTCTCCTCAGTGACAGAAGACATTTCTTGTCAATATTCATACAATTATCTATTCAGAAAAGTGATGAGTACACACACAATTAAAAAATTTACAAGTGAAAAGGGGAAAGCTATGCTTAGTTATGAAGGTTATATTTATACTTTAGAACGAAAAAATGACGTTAAATTGATTTTTCGTTGTCAGAACGGAGATTGCAAAGGTAAAAAAAAATGAATTATTTGTACTTTATTTTTATCTTCTTTTAGGTCGTTGTCATACCAATCCGACTGTGGATGTAATTGTTTCTGCACCTACTGAACACTGTCACGCGTCAAAACCAGATCTAGTTCCAGTATTGGAGCTCAAAAATAAAATAAAGTCACGAGCTGCTGAAACAGAAGAATCATCAAGCACAATTTTACATTCTGCAATGAGATCTTTTCCTTTAGATGCCGCCGGTCAACTACCTCAAAGTGAAACCCTTTTGAGAACTATTCGTCGACAACGTCAAGGGCCACCAATGAATTCCAACAATCAATTGCCTGATCATTTAAAACAAACAGACCGTGGAGAGAACTTCGTACTTCACGAAGATGAAAAATTGATCATTTTTACCACCGCGACGAATCTTTCAGTATTGAAAACGTGTAAACATTGGTTTGTCGATGGAACATTTAAGGTAAAATAAAAGCAAAGACTTTCAATTCACTCATTAAAAGTCTATTTTAGGTGTGTCCAGAAGATTTCTATCAAATGTTTACGTTACATGGATTGCTCAAATCACAAATTATTCCATTGGTTTATGGCTTACTCGTAGGAAAAAAAACAACGGACTACGATCATTTTTTTTCAACGTATCATGGACGAAGATGATTTCAATCCAGAAACAATACTGAGCGATTTCGAAGCGGCGACAATAAAATCGATCAATTCATTGTTTCCAAACATTCTTCACAAAGGTAGTGTGACTAATTGCTTCACAATAATCATCTAATTATGTATTAATTGATTTTTCTAGGCTGTTTGTTTCATTTTGGTCAGTGTATTTGGCGTCAAATTCAAAGTCTTGAATTACAAAAGAAATATCAAGAGGATGAGCCGTTCCATTTGAACATTAAAAACATATTGCTTTAGCGTTTGTTCCTGTTTTAGATGCCATCAAAGCGTTTAATCTGATTGCCGACGATTTCGAAGATGAAGTCGACGATTTTCTTGGTTATTTTGAAAAAATATGGATAGGAAAGCCAGAGAAGAGAGGTAAATTGATTGACTAATCATTTTTTAATATTTAATTTCGATTTTAGGTACTAGTCGAAAAAAACCGCTATTTCCAATAGAAATATGGAATGTTTACGATCGAGCAGTTGCCAATCTTCCACGCTCAAATAATTCAATTGAAGGATGGCACAATGCATTCGAGAAACGTGTGGCAATAGTACATCCAACCATTACCAAATTAACCGAGAAGATTCGTCGAGAACAATCCAAATTCGAAGTCGACATCGCACAAATTCGTCAAGGACAAGAACCAAAGCCGAAGAAACTCAAATATCGAAAACTTGACGAAAGAATCAAACGACTGGTCGATGATTATGAAAATGTTGATCTTGGTGAGTATTTGAAAGGGCTAGCTGTAAATATGTCGTTGTAAATATTTTTGTATTTGTTTTCTTGTAATTGTGTATTTTTGTTTGTCAAATTTGTTTTTCAATAAATTTTTTCTCTTAATAAAATTTCTCCCTCAATTAAATGTTTCTATTTTATGTTTCAATTTAAATTGCTATATTGTATCAATTATTCTACATTCTCATTAGTCTCCCTTAATTAAATTAGAATAAGTGTGTATGCGACGAATTGTCCGTGCGAAATATTTTTCTTGCAACGAATTGTCCGCGACGAATTGTCTGCGACGAATTGCTCATGCGACGAATTGTCCAGTCACCATTGCTGCTGTGTATCTCGCACCTCCCGTGGCATCTCTGGCATGTCCAATTTGTCGGATATATGATACTGCGGCCCGGAATTGTGTTGGAAGTGATAAACGGAATTGCGAGAATTAGATGGAATTGGTTCCGGAATGTTCAACATTGCGGAATAGGATGTATTCTCATAATTTAAGCATTCATACTCTTACATCTCCATCGCTCCATTCGTCATTCAGATATTCAAATGACATTTGAAAATATTGGTTCAAATATGTGGGTGTGGGTACCCATGTAAACACGAAACGCAGAATCGATGCGTTGAAACGCGTAAAACGGTTTTATAATGCGTTCCAATGAGTTTTCAGTATGAAACGCATTGAGACGCAATTAGAAAATTTTTGAAATGCACCTGAACGCAGTTTTTTAACACAACGCATTTAAACGTAATTTGAAATCAATATTAACCGCGTCTCATTGCGTTTCATATTGAAATCGCGTTTATACGCAGTTAGTCAAATTCGACTGAACGCGTTCAAACGCAGTGTAATATAAGACGCGTTTGAGCGTGTTTCAAAAAAATATGAGATGCGTTTGAGCGCGTTTTCGAACAAATATGAAACGTATGTGGACGCGCTTTTGTTAAAAATCGCGTTGACGTGCAACTAATGACATCAGATTCTTTAAGATGTTCAATATAAGTGAATAGATCAAGTTAAATTGGCGAA